TTCCTCCTTCTTTTATACTTGAATCTTTTTTAGAATCTATGATTATGGCTCCCTATGTTGTTTATAAGAAAGCAGAACTAGAAAAGGAGAAAGGACAGTTCTGGACCAAGTCCACAGTCACCCGTCTGAACCTCAGAGTAAGAGACAGGCTTTGAACTCTAAGCTCCCCTTAGAGTGGGTACATTAGCTTGCTGAGGATGTTGTAGCAAAGTACACAAACAGAGTGGCTTATAATACAGAAATGTATTGTCTTTTGCTTCTAAAGCCTGAAAGTCAAAATCAAGGTATTGGTAGAATAGGTTCCTTCTAAATACTGTGATGGAGAATCTGTCCCAAGCTTTTCTCCTTGGACTATAGGATGTCATATTCTCCTTGTATCTGCACATTTTCTTCCTTGGATGTGTGTGTGTCTGTCAAAATTTCTCTTTCTTACAAGGACACCTATCATACTAGATTAGAGATCATTCTAATGACCTCACTTTAACTTAATTAGCTCTGTAAAGATCCTATCTCCAAATACGGTCGTCATTTTGTGTTATTAGTAGCTAGGAGTCTGACACATGAATTTTGGGGAGGCATAAGTCAATCCAAAAACATGGGACATGTGTCTTTCTGGTTTCCCTTTTTCTACATACCTGTGATGTGAGTTTGGGTGGAAAGCAGAGTCCTCTTTCTACTGCAGAAATGATGAAACCCAGATACCTCTCAATTGCTTGACCGGGACTTTTGCCCCATTTTGTCCAGGGAGATGTACTTGCACAGGACTGTGAGTTGATCAGCATCCATTGTCACAAAGACACGGGCTACTGCAGAATTCTCTCCTCTATCACAGGTCAGCAGCTAGGCACCTGCATAACCTTTGGTGCCAGGTTAAGGGAGCCAGTAAGATGACAGATCTAGTGTGAAGGAGGTGATATCTTGACAGTACTAGTCCTGCACCATCCACACATTTCCCAGCATTGATTTTCTTTCTCTAGTTCTTAACTGCCTAGACAAATTGTCCCTTGCAGCTGCACCCCATTTTTGGACCTTACCTTTGGAGATCTCAGTGGATGCCCCCCTTTCAATCCTGACAATCTATGTTAGATTGGCCATACTATTTGTTCTGAGAGCTTTATTTTGGCACAATGACAAAGATGTGAACTTTGGAAATAGGTAGCGGACCAAACTCCAATATATCAATGTATGATCTTCAGGAAGTTATCCAAAGTCTTCTCTTCTTTAAAAGGACCAATAAAAGTAGCTACCACAACATGTTTTGAGGATTCAACAAGTAATGCCACTTGTGATAAATGCATCATGTTATGATGCTATGTTCCAGTGGGAGTTCTACTTCTATTATGGGAGACCTACAGACAAGTCTTACAGGGGCTTTAGGGCAGACTAGTTTAGCTGACTATGGAAGATGAGCATCACCTGTGGGCTGTCAGGGCCATATGTGGTTGACCTGCTGTTGTTGCTTCCTAAATTCTGGGTTCCAGATACAGGTGTGCAGGGCAGTCTAAGGGCCTACAAAATGGCTTGACCCACATAATACTTAGCCGCCCTTCTTCTGTACCAAATTCCTGGCTCCTTGCCTTTTATGGATGTTTCTACATGCTCTAGAAAGAAACAAACAACTTGGAGAGAGTGTTTGCAGGTCATTAGTTGTTTATCTTCTAGTTATGGGAACCCTGCCATTGTTTCAGGTGTTTTTCAGTCTGCATTCCATCTTGCACTCAGCACCCATCCTTGTACCTGGTGGGAGTCCTCAGGGGGAGACTTTTCATAGTGGATCCAGCCCCAGCTCCATTGCCCACCCCAGACCTGCCCAGTGCGGGTCTGAGGACCTGTGGCTATAGAAACACCCACCAGAAAAGCAGGATGATGGGGAGGATGCCAAGTGGTTTGGGCCCAGACCATCTCAGAGACAGTTTTTAGTTTCATCTTGTTATCTTTTGCCTGTGTGTGTGTGTGTGTGTGTGTGTGTGTGTGTGTGTGGTAGAAATACAACTCACATTCTCCAGTGCTTCACTTGGCATGTGGTATTCCCACCCCACACATGAGTCCTGATGTTATATTTCTGCAATGGGAACTAAGGGTTGTTTTTAGCAGGCTGGTTCTGGGAGTCTTTGCATGGGCCACTGCATTTTAAAAGGATAAACAGGAGTCGACAGGGCCAGGCTTTGTTTGATTTAAAATTGGAAACCTGAGAGTTGGAGGCATGCTTTTTATAGTCTGGGCGGGAAGGAGCCCCAAGCCCTGATTTACGAGGGAGCTCAGTGAAAGTACATGAAATCCGAGGTAATATTTATAAATTCCTTCCTCCAAAAGTGGAGGGAATATTTTGTAGAGCTACAGTTAAGCAGCACCTTTTTGGGATTCAGGGAACGTTGTTTCAATCCAGTTTTTCAATAACTGAAAGGAAGATCAAATGTTAGTCAGAGATGAGTGTGCCTCAGAATCTGCGTGCAGGCACAAGGCTGGTTTCTCTCTTGTGTCCTGCACATCAGGGACTTCTTAGTTGCTCCTTCCTACTGCTCTGTCTCCCCCTCCTCACCTCCTATCCCCTTATTTAATGGGCAAGAACCCACCTCTAATTATGATGACCACAATTTGCAAATAAAAATATCTGTCTTGGTGTCTGGGGATAGGACAGGGTCTTTGGAGATCTAGTCAGGGCAGAAGGAAGAAGGGAATAGAAGATAAAGTGTTGCAAGGAGGGGATGTGTACAGGCATAGGTGCGCCCCAGGTAGCCCCGGGTCCTAATAATGTGATGGGATACACTGTCTTGGGTAAACTGAGTCAGAGTTTAGGAGTTTGATGCTGTCAGCCCTGATGTCCATGGCCCTGCCAGCCCTGGTAAGAAGGTTATACATACGCTGTGGGTTTTGGACCCATTAGCAAGGCCAGAGGAGCATCACTTCCCAAGGAAGCACGACCCCAGCAAGGGGGTGGGTGGAGTCAGAGCAGCACCCCAACTGTGTCTCCCTCTGGCTCTGGCATTTCTGGGAGGTGGAAAACTAGGGTTAAAAAAAAGGGAAAGGAAAAATTCAAACAGGAGAAATCCCAGGTTAATTTCTCTAAAGGTTGACCCCTACATCTAGTGGAAGATATCATTACTGGTGGCTCCTGCTAGCCCTGTTAAAGAAAGAAACTGAGCAGGAGGCCTGAGCAGGAGGAATTCAACTTGGCTAGATGGCTATGCTTCCCTGAGAAACGAGGGTTTCTTAAAAATTGTGCTCAGGAGAGAAAATGCCTCTCAGGGAGGGATGACACACATTCAGCTTTACCAAGCGTCCTGCCTTGACCTTGCTGCTTTAGAGTTCCCATGGCAGAATAAAAAGAGAGTCCCACTAATTACACCTCTACCTAGAGGGAGGATCAGAGACTTGTCAGCTCTGGGCTGAGAACAAGTGATGGCCTTTCTGTCTCCCTGCTAGTTCCTGCCCAGACCGAGGCATTCTGTATGAAGGCTTCTAAGGCCTGTGCAATGCAGGCATACGTGCTTCCAGGGAGGAGTGGAAGGTAATAAAAAGGATCTGTTTCACCTAAAATGCTGGGAGGCTGGGAGGGAAATAAAAAAAGACACCTTCATCCACCCCCTTCCCAAAGCATTGGCAGAGTGAGTTGGCCCATATACTTACTTACAAGTTCTTGTTCATCTTATACCTCAACAGAACAGCATTTAATGTTAACCCTCTAGCCAGGTTCTTTTACAAAGGCCAGTAAGACACAGGAAACCTCTATCCTTTCATTCTTGAAAACTTTAGCAGTTAGCCTATGAAAGAAGATGTTGAGATTTGAGTTTGTCCCTGGAGGGTTGTCATGTGCCTTTCAGCAGGTAGCTCTGTAACTCACCACAAAACCTTTGTTTTGGCTCTTCCGCTCCATCTTACCCCATTCCAGAGAGGTGCTGTCTGTTGACCTCTGGACACTGTTCCAGCACTTAAGGGGCTTGTCCCAGGAGGTGTCCATCCAACCCCAACTCTGAGTGGGGAAGTGGGTTAGCTCAGCTAGCCAGGTCTGAATCTCTCCCAGAAAGAAAATTTATACCAAGGTCAGCTCTTACCTGAGAGGCCCCCATCAAGTGTCCCTTGAGCAGCTAGGACGGCATGAGAAAGCTTGCTCCTGTCTCTTCCCTCTCCATGTCTCTTGGGCCATGAAGGGGCAGAAATAACTGGCATGCCACTGAGTCCTTAATCATGGACTCTGTGGAATCCTTAATCATGGAAGGGATCCTTAATCGTGGTAGTAATAGCTGTCATTTAGTAAGCACTTACTGCATGCCAGATGTGTTAAGAATATTGTTCTCAATCCTCACAAATGCTGGAGAGAGGCAATATTATAATCATTACATGGAGGCACAGAGAGCATGAGTGGCTCGGTAGCAGAATGGTCAGATCACAGATTTTCATTCAAATCTCAGCTCTGCCATTGAGTGAGCAACTGTGGGGTCCTGGGCTGATTCTTAAGTTCCCTGGGTCTCAGCTTCCTCGTCTGCAAGATGAAGAATCCAAGTGCAGAAGATTCCCTACAGGAGGGTATTAAAGTCCCTCAGCCTCTGATGGGATCTGACCTCTGGGCAGTGTGGACTGGACTACCCATCTCTGAATTGCGTTGGCACCACAGGTATTGGAAATGTCTCACAGTAAGCACTCTGAGGCTCTCATGATCTTCTAAACACTGACCACTTAACAACATCCAGGGCAGGTGTAAGAGAAATAAAATTAATCAACAGAGCTCCTTTACTGTAATGAATGCAGGCCTTTTAGAAGCTCTACATGCATTTCCAGCTACTCTGTGCTTCCAACATATTCATTATATTCAAAAATATGCAAGACTTACCATATATAGATCTCTCTCTCTCTCTCTCTCTCTCTCTCTCTCTCTCTCTCTCTTTTCCCTCCATATGCATGTTCGAAAAGCACAGAAAGAAAAAATGGAGATTTCTCCCTGATTTATGCTCTGGATTTAGCAGGTTCATTTCAATTAGAATCAGAAACAAGGAAACAGAACAGGAATGTCAGTGTCATATTTATTTCCCTGCAGTTTCCCTCTCCTTTCCATTCGAATTTCCCTCCTAGATGAATATAAACATGTTACAACTGACCCCAGTTTCACTTCCAGCTTCAAAAGATGAATCACAGAGATCTGGCAAAGACATACAGGAGCAAGCAAGAGCTGTGTGGACAGAAGTAATGTTTTTTAGTTGGCCTGACCTCGGTGGTCACTTTTTATCAGAATCCCACTTGCTAAAGCCAAGTTGTCTCTCAAATGTGACAGCAAATGGAGTCTTCAGTCCACGAAGCCCCCAGAATTTTGGCTAGAACTGAGGGTTACAGATTGCTGGTTCTGTGCTTGCACAAGAGGCTCTAAACTGTCACTGGTCCCACTCCTGGTATACAGCAATCGGTGAATCCTTTACAGGTCCTTTGGATCTTTGTTTGCACAGAGATAGCTCACTCTACTTCTACCCCTGAACCATGGAAGAGGCGCAGTTTGCTCAGCATAACAGTGTTCTGCAATGTGCAAGATGAGCAGGCAGGCAGTTGGCAGAAAAATAGATGTGAAAAGTGAGATGCAGAAAGGTGGATTTGAACCCACTTTGCCTGAGAAACAACAGTGCCCAGAGGAAGCTGGGAATGGAGGAGAAACCTGAGTGAGGTTCTTGCTGTGGCACAAGTAACCCCTCCCCAGCCAGGTGGGTGACAGGCAGGAGCAGCCCCTCTTGCACCTCACTTGGACACGAGCATGCGGACAAACTCCTCATAGTTCACTTGCCCATCTCCATCTGTGTCTGCAGTCCGGATCATTTCCTCCACCTCCTCATCACTCAGCTTCTCCCCCAGCCTGGTCATCACATGCCGCAACTCGGCAGCGTTGACATAGCCGTTGCCATCCTTGTCGAACACACGGAAGGCTTCCCGGATCTCCTCCTCGCTGTCTGTGTCTTTCATCTTCCTGGCCATCATGCCCAGGAACTCTGGGAAGTCCACTGTGCCGTTTCCATCCCGGTCGATCTCGTTCACCATGCCCTGGAGCTCAGCCTCTGTGGGATTCTGGCCTAGGGATCGCATGACGGTGCCTAGCTCCTGGGTGGTGATGCAGCCATCTCCGTCCTTGTCAAACAGGGAGAAGGCCTCCTTGAACTCGGCGATTTGCTCCTCGGTCAGCTGGTTGGCCATGCTGGCAGGATGTGACTGGCGTGGTGACAGAGGTGTCTGGGCTGGTGTCTGCTCCTGAGCTCTGGGACAGGCTGGGCTCTTTTTTCTGGCGGTGGAAGGACAGGAGGAGATCTGAGGGGCGGCTGTCTGTCTAGCTTTCTAGCCCCGGCTTGAATTGCTGGAGCTTAAGAAGGAGCAGAGTCCTCCCCCACCTCCAGCCTGGCGGAATTGGACTGCCATCCGCAGACACCCCCGCCCCTGTGGTTGCCTGAAGGCCAGGTCCTGTTTAGACAGGAGTCCAGGAGCAGTAACCAGGCCAGCCTGCTGACTGAGCTGACGCCAATCCCTCTATGTGAAAAGCAGGCAGTTTTCATCTGGACACCCACAGGGCCAGCTCAAGCCACCAGTAATGACATCTTCTGTCTAGGTGTGTGGGTCAACATTTAGAGAAATTAACCTGGAATTCCTCCTTGCACTGGCCACTTTTTTCCTTAGTCTTCCACCTGCCCCCACCCAGTCTCCCTCTCTTTACTCAATAAAATAACCAGCCAGCACCCAATTTTCCCCTTCAGCTGGATTTGTTTATCTATTTATTTATTTTCTCAGAATTAAAAACACATTGTCTTTACTGAAAGGGACTTCATTTCCTAATCTTCTTCTCCAAAGCCTTGGGGACCTAGAGTGTTTTCAGAGAAGGACAAAGGCTTTTTCTTTGCATGAAAGCAGTGTTTTCTTTTCTTCAGAACAGACATAAACAGAGAAGGACTTTTTCCAACCCGTTCACTAGTCAGTCTCTCATTTACAGGAGTTCATTGAGTGACCATGATATGCAGGTATTCCTCAAAGCAGGCCACTTCTGTCCTCAAGAAGTTACATACGTGAACAGAGAAAGCCAAACAAGCTCATTAGAAATTTCTGATAAGTGCTGTGAAGGGAATGAAAGGTAGTGACAGAGAAGTCCATGGGAAGGTCATCTCCTTCATCATCATCAAGGACAATGTATCTACGGAAAGACATTCAAGAGTGACCCTATAGAAGAAGAGGGAAGGATGTGGCTGAGGAACAGACAGGTAACCAGTGTGCAGAAGATGGTGAGAAGGGACAAACAGAAACTTTGCAGGACTTGAGGAGGGATTCTCACTCTATCCTTAGATCTATAACAGGCATCCTGGAAGCTTTCAGCAAAGGCTTGTCTGCACCCTGTGGAGCAGACACATAGCCCGAGAGAGGAGTATCTCCAAGAGGAGATGGGCTTAGAGTAGGATCCCTGGGTGTAACCAGGCACATGAACTCAACTCCTAGCTCCAAGAAACCTGGGGAAATGACCTCCTGGGAGGCAGGAAAGATTGTTTTTTCAGTGAGAATCCAGAAAAATCCAAACTGTAGAGAAATATGAGGCTGGCCCTTCCTTTATTCTGTTGTTGGATGTGGAAGAATGGGGATCAAGGGCCTATGGGGGGTGTATTTATTAGGACCTGGGTTTACTAAGGGGAAAATGTGGTATGATATTTGCTTGAATATTAATTTTCTTTGCTCTCTAAGTTTTCTCTCTTTCCTCACTCAACTATTTATAACACCATTTCTTTCTTCATTCAAATACACAGTAACTCTGCTCTTCCTTGTTCAGAGAGATTTTTTTGGTGGGAACAAAATAGAAGTTACCCACACGAAGGTTTCCACAAAGGCCAGGCTCTTATGGTTGAGGGAGGAGGAAGAAAAAAGCTTTTTGCCTTGGGAGAAACAGCAAGGTTGAAGAATTTCCCACAAGGTGAATCTTTTCCCAGAGAAGAGAGGTGTATAAGCACCAGGATCCAGTGATCAGGAGGCCATATGCAGCCTTGGAAGAGTTCTGGGATTGGTGGGTAGCAGGTTTTTTTCTCTATGTTCCCTCCTCATTGCTGGAGAACCAAACAATAACATAATACAAGGTCCATAGCAGGAGGCAGGAGAACCAGCTTCCCATGGGCAAATGGTCTGAAATCACCCAGAAAACCAGGGGCCAGTGTCACAGACTCCCTATGGCTGAGTCAGTCCCATGATGGTCAAGAACTCAAGGCTGGACAGGACTGCATTCACTCCTCCTGCCCACTTTACCTAGAACCAGGGTAAGAGACGCCTGGTCACTGGTGGATTCTAGGGCATGGCTTGGCTTCAAAACCCAGCTTTTGCTAATGTGTTTTTCAAAAAGCCACATTGAAGAACTCAGTAAGGATATTAAACAGGGTTAGAACACATGAGTCACAAAGGCCTGCCTTGTGATGGCTGGATTGTTGCAATTCACACATTGAGAAACTATGGCAGAGGGAATGTTTCTAATTTTGAGGCTTAATTGTCTCCTAGCAGCCTCTCACCCCATACATCCATTCCCTTCCCTACAGCATTCACACACACACACACACACACACACACACACACACACACACACATTTTGGTTGTGGGAGGGGTCTAAGGTTCCATTTAAACATTTAAAAGTTAAATATGTTGAAATAGTTAAATATTATTATGTATTTAGAACTTTAGAAATAAAGCTGAGCAGAGTAGTTTCAGCTGCCCAAGAGCCCGAGACAGGGAGGATTGAAAATTTGAGGCCAGCCTGGACACTTTAGTAAGATCCTGTCTCAAAATAAAAATTAAAAAGGGCTCGACATATAGTTTGGTGTTGGCGAGCCTCCGGGTTCAATTCCTGTACCCCACCTCCATAAAAAATTACTTGTTCACATAAACAACTTATTTTTTACTTTTAAAAATGCATTTTCCAAGATGAGGAGCAGGGAAAAGCCGGGCATTTTAAAAAGCAGCTCTGAAAAATCTCTTTAATGTCCGACTTTATGGAAGCATATGTTCATCTGCTTCCAATCTGTGGCAAAATGTTTTTTGAAGGGAAAGGAGGGAGCATTTAAGTGGCTTTGAAAGAAAATTGTGGATATTCTTCTTTGATGTTTCATCACAGCTTGACAAGCAGTATTTACTTAGAGGTTAGTTGTAAGTATGGATTTGAGAGCATATCAATTAAGTTTTCATACCGTTCCACTAAAATCCATTGGTCTGTTTTGCACTTTGAATAGATGTTTTTATCCAAATGTAATTACATTTGCAATACCATGCACTGGTCACTTGGAAAATATTGGTTCACTAGTTCTGCAGATTTTTCAGATGTTGAACCATTACATTAAAAAATCAGATTCTTTTATTCAGGTTTCATTTTTCAGCCATATTACCACCAATCCCACTGTAAAAATTTTCTGAGACAGGGTCTCATTATGTAGTTCAGATTGTTCTTGAAGTCACCGTGTAGCCTAGGCTGGCCTCGAACTTCAGATAATCATCCTGCCTCAGTCTCTCAAGTGCTGGGGCTGCAGGCAGGTGCTACCATGTCTGGCCAAAAAAATCATACAGTTTTGGAAAATCCAAAGCTCACAGTGTCAAAAGCAAAATTTCCAACATTCCAATTTTTGTTTGGAATCTCAAATTTTTTTATTGACGACAAACTCTCTGTCGATTGTTTTCTGTGGAGTGACAGACTCACTTTATCCGTCTCTGAGAAACCATCTGCTCAGTGTTACATCTGAGTCCCGTAGTGTCTGTCAGCTGTTATTTCTGATGAAAATAGTATTCTATGGAAAAGCTGGCCTTGCCACTCCTGGACCCAGTGACACATGTGTTTTCCTCCTGACAACCATTGTGCTTAAATATTCCCCAAATACTAATGATGTGCACCCAAAGATTGAAATTTAATAAAATCAATACCCTTATCGCCTCTCTAAGGACATTTTCAGTGAATGTTGCTTTTTAAAAATGAAACAATATGGCAGTGACTATATATACATACAAAACTGTAAAGGAGCCTTGGTTCAGGCCAAGGAGCTAGCAGTTGTCACTGCTTTTAACCTTTATATGCATACACCAATACTTTGAGAAAGGCAAAATGAAAAATAACAAAAAACAACAATTCATTGGGATTTTGTGAAAATAGTTGTGATCTTCCAGAACCACAGGGGATATCCTGCTACCCACAAGATTCATGGATACATTTGAAACCAACTGCTCTGGAGTGCTAGGCAGCACAGATGTGAAATGAATGTAAAATCTTCCAAAATCCTGGAGGTATGAGGTGCTGAAGACTCTGGAACAATGCTAGGACAATGGTGACCTTACAAAGTACGGTACTGAACTCCACATAGATACACATTAAAAGAACCCACATGTATTACTTCCTATGAAGAGACTCAAGGTATTTTACATTTGTCTAAATTGGAGTTATAAATAGCTTTTCTTAAAAAGAATTTGTCAAGCACTTTTGTGATTGTGCCTCTCCCTCTGGGTGCTGTAGAGAGATATGGATCAGAATCTTCTCTGGCCAGTTCCATTCCTGTGACCCTGCTAATATGGGCATGCCAGCTGGTGGCCATGTGATGCTCCTTTTTTTCTCTTGACAAGCCGCCTACTGGCCTAATACTTGCTCATGTACATTCTTTGCTCTAAAGTACAAAAACAAAGTTAATATATATGAATTCAGTTAATAGCTGTGGAGCAATTAGCCTCACCTAGTTTTTTATATCTCTATGTTTCAGATGGCATATGGGTATGAGTCAGGGGTAGATGACTAGCAAGTTAAAAGCTTGAACTGGAATCTAGATCCTCTAATTTCCATACTGTCAATTGGCATTCTATCGTTTTTATTGTCATCACCAACTCGATCTTCAACCTCTTTCTCCTGTAGCCCCAAGAGTGACTGACCAGTATAGTAGTCTTTAGTGCATGAAAGCATGGAGACGTGCTTGTTGGCCAATCATGTCTTTATTCTACATTTTCCACCAAGCCCTTCCTGTATCCACTTGCAACGGAGTACCTACGTTGTGTGCTTAATCAGAATCTCCAAGTTAATGTGACCAAGGGAAATTCTTGGTCTTCTTCCTTACCACATCTGATTCTTCCTCATTCTTCCTCTCTCTTCAAAAACCACTCAGATCACTCAACTGTGCAGAGGAAAACCTAGAGCCACTGAATTCCTCCTTTCCTCTTGTATGTCATACCTGTTCACTCAGTTCTGTGTTGACAATGTGTCTGGATACATCCACTGCACCAAACCACCATCATCTCTGGGGAGAATGATTCAATAACCTCACCGCTGGTTCTTCTTTTTTGTGTTATCATCCATTTCTTGCTTGAAACATCATGATAACATCTCTTTGGATTTGAAGTAAAATCCCTACAGT